AGAGAGAGAGAGAGAGAGAGAGAGAGAGAGAGAGAGAGAGAGAGAGAAACAGATCGACAGAGAAAATGCTCATTTGAAATTCAAGACTGATCATTATGTTTTATGGTGTACATAATATTGCGTTATAGTTGAGTTTACAGAATCGACAACTCCACAGCAAGTTGCAATGAAAGAAAAAACGGAGTCGCAATTGTACACCAAATTGCATTCTTTGTGTCTTTTAGTCTGCTTCGGCAGAGCCAGCTTTTTGTGCCTGTCTTTCTTTTAGTCACACAACATTTAGTCATAATTTGTGAGCAAGCGGTATGCTGCTTAAACGTACGTGAAGTTCGCAAAACTACATCAAGCAACTAATTCAAATACAAACTACTGTTAATCTAGCCCGCACAGTTAACTCGCGATTACCACACAATTTTTTGCCTTAAAATTTCGTAATGCAAATAAAAAGATCATATTGTGAGCTCAAAAGTGTTACTCTTTGTTTTCTCTTCATATCACATTTTATTTGAATGATTTGAAACATTTAACATAATACGATTTTATGCGCTTTTAGTTTTTTTTATCGATATGCAATCTATAAGAATATGTTTAGTATACCGCGGAACAGGATCTCTGTCAGACTCGCAATAAAAAGAAAGGAGATCTTCATTTGTATTTCCTGTCTGCGGAAATGCAACATTTTTAGTTTCACACCATTTCGAGTGTAAATCGAGTGAAGTGATTCACTCGATTTCAATTTCAATTGCCATCATTATTCTAAATTAAAAAACCCAATAAATGGTAAGCATACATTTTATTAGCCTTTGGCAATTTAGCGCCAAAATATTGAAACGTCTACGTTTGGTGTTGCTTTGAAGTAATTTTCAATATGATATATAATGTTTCTTTTGATGATTTTTTTTGTTGTTGTTCAACATTTAATATCACGTCATTACCCCAAATTAGATAATTATTCAATCGTTTCGTTATTTTATAAATTAAATAATTTATATCGTGTGAGCATTAACAAATGTTTAATTCGTCGTATATATTTAGAAAGATATTTTTGTGGTAGACAGACGACATTTCATACGCTATAAAAATACACACACACAACCACGAGTGAATGGGTTGAAAATTAAAAGATTGGTCTCGTTTACGTGTATGTATACCAAGCAATATATTTGAATGTTAAAGAGGCGTAAAAATATGTTTGAATTGAATTTTAGGAAGAAAGTGTGGCTACATTGAAAGATCTTGACAACAAATAATTTGTAAAATTATACGTAAATTTACAAGCAGAGTCCTGCTCATTCGACTAATTATCATTGTTTCTTTGATTATAACTAATTAGTTAAGCCCTATTAGTTGTGACGCATATCCTTGATTAATTAATTATAATCATTATCAGTTGTCATTTGCAGACATTATATTGAGATATTTTCAGGCAGCTGAATCAGCTAAGGGAGCAAAAATCGGGCGCTAATAGAGTAAAAATAATAGAAGTGATTGTAGTCAAGTAACTATTTCCAAAAATATTTGCCAAAAAATAATACAAGAGAGCAAGCGTGAATTTGATTATATAAAATCCGTATAAAAATTAAAAATGAAAAAATAATTTTGTGATCTATTTAATTCATATTTCAGTTTTTTCATATCAAAAATATTTGGAGTTCACTACTGTGTTGAAAAATATATTAAAAAGAAAATGTGAATTAAATAAATCACAAAATAATTGCATACAGACAACGGGAACATCGTGACTTAGCTGATAATTTTAGAGTAATTTCAATTGTGTATCTGTGTCAATCGAAAATGACCAGCGACTGTCTTTGAAATCGATAAAATCTTGCATGTCATTTATCTGATAATAATTGGTCAGAGGTGGCGACGCCATCCAAACATGTCATAAAAATTCTAGATCAATTGCCTGTGTTAGGTCACCATCGACATTTGGCACTCTACTGGCAACATTTGCTTTTATGGTTATGCTATTTGTATGTATGTGAGCAATCAATATTGATCCAAAGCTCGAGTTTTTTTGCTCTTTTTATTCTCTCGCTGAATTGATTATGGCCAAATGGTTTCTGCGATTCGTGAACTTTAAAACGACCAAAAGATCAATAAGTGTGCGACATAAAACAATAACTGTTAAAAGTCTCGTATAATGACAACAAGCTTCGCATAAACACGATGCAAAACCGCATCGTCAGCATACACAAGACAAGTCAAAGAATAAAATCACACTCATATGGCATAATGGAAATGCGGACATACAACCACAACGCTGTTGACTACAGCAAAAATTTGCAAGCAAAGAGTGAAGTAAGACGAAAAGAAAAATATAGTATTTTCCAAAATGCATTAGCACACATATCGTATCGAAACTGAACATTGCAACAGAGAGTTATATGGAGTTACGAATGAATCACTTGAGCAATAAAAAAAACGCGTTGCGTTTCAACGTTTCGAAAAATATGCAGTTAGAATTCTGTCGGTGTAAAAAGAACATGAACAGAGTGGTCGCTAGACTGCGGCACCGTGTGTGTTTGATTTATAGCGTTCATGTCGAAACACTTACTATCGTAAAAAGAAAAAAATAAATGTTCTTTTTTGCGAGTGTTTAATAATCTATGCGAAATGATACATTGCAGCACAACACTTGCACATAGTGTATGCTTTCAAATGACGAAAGCGTTTGAAATTCATTTTACAAACAACTATGAATATAAACATTGCTCATTTGCGCTCACTCTGACCATTTCTATTTAGACCGTGTATGAACTTGTGTATCGGAATCCGTATATAGCGTTGAACTTTCGTTGTCAATTTAACGTGCGACTTAATTTTTGTGACATGAACATCAATTGTTTACGATCATTTTAAATTGAACGTCATTCCGTCAACAATTAACACTCGATTGTATTGACTTCTGCATTACATTTACTATTACTATTTCGGCCACCACAGTTTCAACTGCATTAAACGTGAACTGCAGGAGATATGAGGTGCGATAAAAGAGCATTTTGCGCTAAGCCAGTCTATGTATGAACGTTTGTAGCAATGGTTTATGTGGCTTTTGTTGTTGTTGCAATTACTACCGTTATAAAAATGGTGTATGTAAAAAGTGACGTCGCAAAAATCAAAAGAAAAAAAAAACGATCAAAATTAAAAATAAAGCCATTAAGCATATATACACATGCTGCGTGATTTTAATTCTACGGCCAACGAATTTTCATTAGCAGATTGCGACGATTGCAAACCCACTTTAGAAATAAATAAAATTGTATCGAAATCATAATTTAATTGAAAACCCCATACAGAACAAGATAGGCCAACGCAAATCGTGTCCATCATTACGTTGAATTTTCATTGAGAGAAAGAGAGCGAAAAAAGAGTATGGTGAAATTATGCAATATTGTCGTTTTACATACGACTATGGCACCAAATCTTAAATTGATGTACGCCAATCAAAAAAGGAGGAAAATGTTGAGCAAATCTGAACGCAATACATTGAAATCGCGCAAGTACACGAGCACACATAAAAAAAGACCATCAAATAAGTTAAAGAGAGAAAAAATAATAATAATAATAAAATGATGATGAAAGCAAAGTCACGTAAAATCAAGTCAAACATTTTGCACCGCCAAATCAACACAATGAACTTGCGTTTGATTTGATTTCGGCATATTTTCGTCTCTCGTTTCTTTGTTGCAATACACACACGATATAAATGATCAATATTATACAATGAGATTCAGGAATATTGTGTAATATACTATTATTATTATTATTATTTTTTCGTTGAAGTGCTCGACAAGCCGATCGACGTATACCGTTTATGCCATATACCTTTAAGTGATGACGAGATCAGATATTTACATTATTGTGATTATTTCTTTTTTTGTCGTTTTCTTCTTCTGTTGTTGTTATTGCTGCTGCTGCTGTTTTTGTGCTTGTGCATGAGTATGCCGAAAGACAAAATAACACAATCCAACTCGACACACCGATAGACAGGCCGATTTTGCCGATTTTTTTTTTATTATTATATAATTGTCCATAATTTTTGGAACAATGAAATATTCGATGTTAATTAGATTTGAACACATTATGCGATCTTAGATTGCACAAAACTGATATCAAAGCGTGATGTTTTCGGTTTTTTTGGTACCTTGTCTTTTAAGTATTTTTCAATTTTACGATTGAATTATGTCAAGTTTAATAAGAAAGAAAATATGTGTTTTTCATGTATATATTGATGACTTTTTACAGTCAATTGTTTTCATATCAAATGTACAAGATGACTCTACAAATTTCGTTCATCAGAAATTATCTTTCTCTCTTCATCTCTCTGTTTGCCTCTTTCAATTTAAACTTTGACCTATTTGTGCTTCTGCATGATTACGTGCATTATCACTTGTAAATGCATCACGAAAGGAAATGGCATGCTACATTTAAATGGGCCATATTTTTTCTTTTTGGCTTAAATTTCATTTTCTCTCTTTCTCTCTCTCTCTCTCTTGGATTTTTACCGCATTAACATGATCATTTTTATGGTCATTAGAATATTTTCAACATTTTATTTTGTCCCTCGCCTCATCGTATGTTACTTTGTCCTTACTTATTCGAGCTTATTCACGTGTACATTTCACATTTTATTTTAATTTCGTGTCGTGCACTTATATAATAGCCAGTTTGGTGCATTTTCTCTGCATGTCATATATGCGCGCTTGCAATTGCAAATGGTTTCAAAAAAAAGAGTAAATATTAGCATACGATTAACAAATGTCATTGTTGTAAGAAATTCCAAATTTAGTTCTGCCGCTTGCACTATTTACACTGCACCTCAGTTAACTAATTGGGCATGAACTATTTTCGGTATTGCAGTTATATAACGGCACAAACAAAAATTATACTATTTTAGTTGTTATTGTTACTGTTTTCGTTTCGGCCATTCAGTTTCTAATTTTAATTTTAAAAAAAGACCGGAATACTGTAGTTGGAAAAGTTTTTTTTTGTAGTACCAGAAAGTGTAAAATGAGTCTGAACTTGGAACTTGGGGCTAATTTACGTATTTATTTATTTGGGTTGCATGTATTTTTACGGTGTCAAAGTAAACCATTATTGATCATCATATTTTTATTAAAAACGCTCTTTCAATCTTTGTGGTTTTTCATTTACTTTCGTCATTTTTATTCTCTCTGGTCGTTCGACAAGAGGGTCATTTGCATCAATCCATATAACAGGAAAGAAGAGGGGGGAGGATGAGAGAGGCAAAAGTTGATGTAATGATATCACTTGATTACTTACATTTTTCGAGAGCTTCGTTGCACGACTTCAGCGCTTCGTCTAATGCATTTTGTCGGAGTAGCGTTCGTGTTTTTTCATTGACTGATTCAGCTTGTATGTGCGGCATCCACCACTTTTCCACCAAACGGGTAATTAGTACATCTTGTTTTAAAGCATCGCCGTACACGAGAAACCGTTTATCGCAGACTTGACATTGTGTTTCGTTGTGAACACAGTCGCGGCAAAAGGTGTGTCCACAGTTCATTGTTACCGGCCAAACTAATACATGCGCGCAAATCGGACATAATAAAGGATCCATCATTTCATGTGCATTGCTGATGCATCGATTATCCAAAAACAATGAATAGTCGGATGGATTGTGGCAACATGTCGTATCTTTACCATCGTGCTTCACATTGGTCAATGGATCATGAATAGTTGGGCACGAGCTCATCATTGAATTAGTTTTTTTACAATCATCATTTTCATATGCCCGTCCAATTGTTTCATGTTCGTATACAAATGATGTTCGATTTGCATTGGTTTCGTTTTCATTTTGTTTACCAATGTCATTGTGATTTTTATTTCCCGTATGCGAATTTGTGTGTTTCATTCTTTGTTGAGAGCACTCATATAATACAAATTTGGTACATTCACTAGAATCACTTTGCGTAAGAGAAGCTAATGGTAACGATTGATGTTGTTGTTGATATTGTTTATGCAGCAGATGTTTTTGTGGCAGCTGTGTTTCGGATAATTGGCGTTGACGCACTTCTGGCGATACCGATGCTGATGATGCAGACGATGTTGATGACGACGGTGACGATGATGTTGATGATAATGATGTTGATGATGATGAGGTAACACTCTCCAAAAGGCCGATTGTCAAGTGCTTCAACTTGTGAACTGGCACCGCATAGCCCAGCTTACTACATATGAATGCAAACACATTAAAACTTTCGCGAATGTGACCGCAACGCGCTAACGAGTCACCATACCCGATGTACGTATCAATTGAGATCAATGAATTCACTGGCGATGCATATTTATCGGAAAAATGAATTATATGCCCGAACAGTTCTAATGCTAATTGATAGTTCCCGCTATCGAATGCTTCTTGGGCCAATTCATGAATGTTATTGGCCATTTTTAGCGAAAAATTCACAAAACTCACTCACACACACAATTCACTAAAAAATGTGCACAGTTGATCAACTCTTGTTCTTTTTTTGTTTGTTTTTTCTTTGCAGCCGATTCTTATACACTGAATTTTGTTTTTCAGTTGTTTGTTTTCATTGAATCAATTTATTATTATTATTGTGTATGTGTGTTTATTTCTTTTCTATCTCTTTTTGTTTTTATTTTAAATTTGTCAATAACAAATTGCGTCGTATGAAAAATCGTCATTCCATTATAAATCGATTGGTCTCTTTATTCAACTTCAATACCGAGTCGATTACGAATTCGATTTGAAAACAATCGATCTCACAAAAAAATGTTTAGCAAACAAAATTAAAAACTTATATAAATAAGCAATTTTATCTATAGTTCCTTTTCTTCCTTCTTCTTTTATTGTTTCGTTTATTTGTTTGATCATACATTTGATTCAGGAAAAAATGTTGTTGTCGTCGGTGACTCAAATAAAAATGCACACACAACACCCTGTGAATTGAATATCAGAATGCGTTTTTTTTTTTTTTTTCAAATAATTACCAATTTGAATTTATTCGGGACGTTCATAAATTTATGGTTTCTGGCCATTTAAAAATATATACACACATATCGAACGGTAATCACGTAAACTTTAAATAGAACTGGAAATGCAACCAATTTAAAAACACAACGTTTATCAAGTTTAAAGTTTTATTTTCGTTAAATTTAGTTCCAATATCACTTGGCTTTTGTGTGTAATATGAAAACTAAACGTTTTTTTTATCTCTCACGTCCAACACTAAACCCGCTTAAAACATTACATAAATATCAGATGATTGTGTAACCATTCACGTTGGTTGTGCCCAGCTAAAAGAAAGAGTGAGCGAGAGAGCGAGAATATTTTAAAGCACAAGTCCACACACAGTAACCATTAACACCATACAAATTAATTCTCATTGCAAAACAACACAATGTAGAATTTTTCCGATTTGGTTTTTTTTTTCGTTCATTCGTTTTTCTTCTTTTTCGTTTTCTCATCAAAGAAATGTATTCAATCAGCCGATTTATTTGATTTCATCGCTTTGTTTGTAATTTCGTCACATAAGTTAAATGTAAAAATAAAGGCCAACGTTGTAAACAAGAAGTCCTATCATAGATGTGATGTGTTCTCTGTATTGTTTGTCAAACGTACCGAATGAATGCAAGACCAATCGAGCACAAATCAACAAAAATAACACATGGTATATATCTTCCAAAAGTCAGAACAAACTCTCTCTTTCTACGTTTCGGTGTGTATGTGTGCCTCGCACTGTTGTATGATACAATTCGATACGTGTAGTGTCTTTGACAGTTTGGATGTTGCTGTAACTACTGTTGTTCTCAATACAACAAGTTGCTTGTTCCAAAGTAGTTACATAAACAGAGCACGGTTTATTCCACCAGATTTATACATTTAATTACAAGTATTTTGTATATATAGCACACACATGGTTTTCTTTCGTAGATGTTTGACTGTGTCGGTTTTGGGTCTTCTTATTGTATTGGTGTGGCCAAACTAAATTATAACGAATTATACGATTAACGCTTTAAGCTCATTTAATTTTCGGGACGAAATGAATGTTTATTTCATATTTTGTTTTATATAATCGTTCACATCAATTTCACTATTTATCAAATAATTTTTTAGTTCTTGTCCTTTATGTTCGCAATGCACTCAATTTTAATAAACTTCTTATTGTTAATCAGCTACAATGTCCAGCATTACGCCTCTTTTTCAACCGATGTTATGTATTTAGTAGATTTTTTTGGGGAGCCTTTTTTCAACTCACACTTTCAAATACAAGCACTATATATAATAATTTTTTTTATTTCTGTCGTCGTAATCACCAATTCAAACTATGCGTCCAACATAGTAGATTTTGAAGGTATCGAAAAGATTTCGTGGATGATTTTATTACAGCCTCGATATAATTTTCTTGTGCAATGTCGAATGAATGCTTGGGAGATTCTTCTCTCATTTGTTTACAATTGATTCTGACGCCAGTTACAACTCACTTCGTTTAAGTGCATGCAGTCAGTGTTCTCTCAAGAAAACCGAACGAAAGAGCTGTTGTTCAATTATTACGTGACTGCGTTGCGTACCGCGTTGCCGTCTCTTTATTGTCGTTTTTAAAACGTTCGTTTGTGTGTATGTGGCGCTCTTTATATCGTTGTCGTATTACTTTTTTTTATTGTTTTATTCGAAACCGAATCGAATCGAATCGAGAGAAGAAAAAAAAGAAGAAGAGAAAATTTTGTTATATTACATAAATGTCGCGATATTTTCGCATTCGTCTCCGTTTAAGCTCTCCGTATCACGTAAGCACTGTTCTTGATTTGCTTTGCACAAAAGTGTACACACAACTGTGTAAATTATAGAACTGTGTGTACGGCGGCACACGATGCGACACACAACAATATTTCTAAGTTTTTGAGAGCGAAAGCCGACGATTTTTTTTCTCTCGTTCTGCTTGTGTTATGCCGTTACTGTTGTTGCTGCTTATTCTTTCAATTTTTTATACGATGTTTGAATGTTTTCAGTTCACCTTTTTTATCTATTTGAATGTATCCCATTATAGATTTATAATTGTCTTTTTGTGTGATTCATTTCCAACATCAACAGTCGTACACAATACAATTTCCAAATTCAGCCAGAATATGAAATTAAAACATGAACCACCAACTGTACACTTTTGTTTCTATCGTTCTTTCGTTCGAAATATACACACATAACATGCTTATGTAACGTGTATGGCGTAGACACACGTAATATTTACAAAACTAACGAAATTTATCTTCTATCTCTTTCCATCAAATTCATTCGATTTATGTTCTATTCGTAGTCGCAGTGGTCGTAGTCGCATGAAGTCATCACAGTTCACTCTCGATTTTCTTAAAAGTTTGGAAATGATTACGTTTCTTGCGAATTAAATTTGGGGTTGGAGTGTAATTTCAATTGAAATGGTTTCGTCACATCACTCCATTATTATAACTTTGCTGAGAATTCCAAAGAACTTTACACTAATTTTTATACGTCACCATTTGAAGTGTCTTCTTGTTCATTTATAACATACGTTACACTTTCTGCTCCAGTTTTGCACTCATGGAATTTATACTTTAATTTCCTTCGCATATATTACTGCAGCATGTATTGGCGAAACATTTTGTTCGATTGACACACATTTTCACAATTTTATCAATGGCTGATGGTGCACAAAAAAAAAACAACGTTCAATTGTTCAAAATAACAAAATCGAAATGCTAAATTGCAACCAAGAAATAATGTTTCGCAGTGCAAAATCGGTAACAAATAATTAATAAATAAATGTGTTAACGTACTTGACAAAAAAAATTGGAAAATTTCTCAATTTAAACAAAACAAAATCAAATTCGAACGCCAATTGTGACAAGAAAAATGATTTGTTAGTTTATTTAGTGCCGATATTTGTATAACAAACTGAAAAACTTATTCGAAAACAAAACGATTTGTGGGGTTTGAAATAAATTTTTGTGTTCATTCGTGGTCGCAGTCTATAAGCGAAATGAAACTTTAAGTGAATCAGTTTGTTGGTCTGAGCGCACAATACGCTCAACCTCGTATGAGACTACATACGCGAGACTCATAAAGTCCATGTGCAACGCTTCTTACCAATACATACCAATTACCGAAAAACGCGCTCGTTTCATTGACTCTCTTATTCTCTCTTTCTCTATCTCGCTCGCTCTCTCTCTATCTCCCTACACATCATTTAGTCAGAAAATACACATGCCGCTTACGACGTCTATCGTTCGGCACAAAAACATGCTGTCGCATACACAACACTGTGCGCTGAGAGAGTACCAAATTGCATAAGTCCCACAATGAGAGAGAAAAATGGTTAAACATCGATAGAAATGTAAGAGAATAACAGAGGATAGAGTAACAAACAACACACGCGCAACGCGCAACAAAACATAAATCTCATCGAATTGGAGAATATGAACGTTGAAAAAAAAGAGCTGTTGTTGTCGCGCGTTTCGACATTCAATTTCGTTTACGACAACATCATACACAGTCTATCACCAAAACAAACACACATATAGTACAATTTTTGCGTTGATGAAAACTTACAAGCGGCTCATGTTACATTGCTTCACACATATACATATTCGCACTGCGCCCATGTGGTTCGGCAAAAACGAGTTCGCGATACATATTTTTTTACACCGAAAAACTGTTTACGCAAAACCGAAATATTGGTAAATCACTCGCATTTTACATTTGTCGGTGCTATAGCAATTCATACCGTACTATAAACGCAATAGCGAACTGTGTGTGTGTGTGCTTTTTTTTCACATGGCATTTGTCTGCATTTGTGATGCAAGTTCAACTGCGTTGTATCGCTTTTTCGTGCTCTACATACGTTTTCAATTCACGTTGCTCATTTTTTCCTGTCTTTGCTTCTTCTGGTAGCGGTGTTGTATGGTTGGCTTTTTTATTATTGTAACAAATATATGGGGTTTCAGTGACCGCTGTCTTGCATATTCAACTAACATTTATAGTTCTATTTGTACGTTTGGTATGATTTCTTCTCTAGCAAACAGCACATTTTCTTCGATCTTTGAGTGTTGTCAGTAGATTGAAAAAACACCGTTTCCGGTGCAGCTTTGTTTTAAACGACATTTTCCACCCACTTCCCGTTTCTGCACACAACAATCCGACATGATCATATCCATCGATGAATTAATTACTTGTTAATACCTCACAAAAGTTGTACGATATTCATACTGCAATTACTATTTATATAGTCATGAATTGTAGACCGTATAAAATATTAATAAAGGAAACGTTTTTATCTATTTTTGACGAAGGTCAAAATGAGCGCGTACCACACGTTATATGTATGCTAATTTTATTATAACAAAAGAATCTTAAATACATATGCATTCAATCACATTCATAAATGTCCATTTGACCCAAATTCAATCGCATTTGGCTTATCCAATTCGAAACTAGATTTGACATTGATCTAATTTATTATCGCTTTGGAGAGTCACATTTAATACATGGATTTTACG